GGAAAGTAACATATTGTATTCTGGCCCTCAGCTTTCTAAACTGGGTGGCCTAGTTCTAAGAGCAATAGTTCTGTATGTTAAATCACTATACAAACAAAGTTGTTTAAAGAATTTAAGTCAAGAGAGAAGGATCCCCTTCAAAACAAGAACTGAAAAACAATATTTGAGGAATCCAAGGAAAACAAGACTATACAATTGACAGGCTCTTTTCAATCATCTAATATCAAGTTTATCTTTTAAAACATCATGTGTTTTCTGTTTCCCAGAGAATTTAAACATTTACAACTCTATGATGTGCAGATTAGTAGCTGAATTACACTCTTCAAGAAGCCATATCTTTCTTCCTTCCCTTAATCATTTTTCTTTCCTTTTTCTCTCTCCCTTTTTCTCCACATCTGTTTCTGCCTCTAGTTGACAAAACATTTCAGAGATTGTATATAGCTCTCCTTGTTCCCCCCCATTTTTTAGGAAAAACAATTTCTAGCCAGAGTATTTCAGGCTCCAAAGTTGAAATTGTATATTATTCTTTTCAGCAGTTTCTAGTCCATGCCTTAACAAAGCAGAATGTAACCCTGAAAGAAAATAACACTTCACAATGAACTCAAAGAATACTATCACTTCTCACTTTTCAATTAAAAAAAATACATTTCCTATTTTTGATAGGAATATATGTGTACCCTTGAGGAAATGTATAATACCAGAGCATATGACTTTAAGAAATATAAAATTCTAAAGGCGTCTGCCTTCCCACTAACTGATTTTATCCAAAGGTGGTGGTGCTGTAGCTTGGCCCTAAAATACAAATCCAGCTTTGAGTCTCCTGTCAATGGTTTGGACCACCCACTGCCCTAAGACATGGCCACCTTCATGTCATTCCCTCTCATTTTTCATTTTTTTTTTTTTTAGCTCATTCTCACTTCTCTCTTGTCTTATCTCCCAGTGATTTCAATACTCACATAGACTATCCTTCCCACCCTGGCCTGTTGGCTCACTGACCTCCTCTCCTGCAATGACCTTATCCTCCATCTGCCTCATTAGAGACTAACTTGGATGCATGAGTCGAATTCTAATTCCTTGCAGGTTGTTCTCCAACCACTGTCTCTCAGCAATCTAGTTTATTCTCCCTAGGACTTGACCCCAGGAGACCTTAATTACCCTGCATCTTCCAATTCATTGATCAGACCACCTTTTCACTGACCTCATCCTGTATGTCTTCCATTCCTCTAGCTTAAACTCTATGATCAATTATTATAATCATTCTCTTGTCCTTCATGTTTCAGCTCTAAATCCAACTCTGCTGATTCACACTGCACCTGTTAAGTTGAATGTGGCTGGAGAAAAATTCATAGCCATGCTGATGGGCCTCACTTCCAATTCATGACTTTAATGTTGTCTGACAATACTTTAGGTCATAGTCTAGTCACCCTTCTACTCTCTAGACAACTATCTCATACCTTCTTTTCTGTCTTCAGACTTCCACTGCCTCTTGCCCCATCCTCACACTCATTTGATCATCTGGCTTTCTATTTCACTGAGAACACTGAAGCAATCAGGAGATTTCACAAATCTCACTATTCTACCTGTTTACCAGCATATATACCCTCACACTTTGACTTCCTGCCAGTTACCACTAGTGAATTTGTCATGCTCCTACCTAAAGCTGACATCTCCTCATTCACTTAGGCACCAGATTCCATCTCCTCTTGGCTATTACAGGACATCCCTCCAATAATGTTTCTTTCTGTCTCTAACATCATTAGTTTCTGCTCCCTAGTGGATGATTCACATCAACCTGCTTCTTTACACATGCGTCCTCTCCCACTGTAAAAACATGTTTTTTGATCCATTTCCCCACCAGCTATCATCCCATTTCTTTGAAGCAAAACTCTCAAAAAAGGTTGTATATACTTGCTGTTTTCACTTTTTCTCTTCCTGTTTTCTCTTAACTTATTCCAGCCAAGCTATTACCCCACCACTCCACTGAAAGTAGCTTCACTACTCTTGTCATGACCCCATTTCTTTATTTCTTTTTGGAGAAAAATTCCTCAAAAGAATTGTCAATATTCAGTTTCCAATTTCTTTCCCCCCTTTCCCTTTCAAACATATTTCCACCCCCACCACTCCACTGAAAGTGCTCTTGTTGAGTCACCAGTGACTCTTTGTTATAAAATCCAGCTGTCAATTCTCAGACCTCATCTTAACCCACCTATGAGCCCCCTATGACACAGCTCAACACCTTCCTTTACACATTCGGCTTCAAACACATGACATCTCTTGGTTTCCTTCCTACGCTGCTGGTCTCTCTTCAGTCTTCCTTGCTGGCTTTTCCTCTTCTTTGTGCCCTTATAATTTTGGAGGCTTCAGGGCCCAGTTTATCAGGACTCACTCTCTCAGTGTTTTCATCCAACCCTTTGGCTTTACATTCCATGTGTGCTGATTATCCCAAAATGTGAATACCTATCTCAGACCTCTCCTGAGCTCTAAACTCATTATGCCTACTTGGCATCTAAACTGTTGCCCAATAATCATATAAAACAACATGTTAAAAAAAAAAAGACAACTCTAACTTTCCTGCAGAGATCTTCTTCCGTTATAATCATCGCTATCTCTACTTCCAGTAACTCCATCCTACCAGTTGCTCAGGTCAAATTCCTTGGAATCATCCTTGACTTCTCTGTTTCTCTTATACCCTATGCTGGGAGGTGGGTCCTTTAAGAGGTGATCAGATCGTTAAGATGGATTTATGTCTTTCTTGCAAGTCTGGATTACTTATCATGGGAATGGATTAGTTTTTGAAAGAGTGGGTTGCTGTAATGCCGGTCAGTCTCTTTTGTTCATTCTTTCCCAGGTGCTTGCTTGTCCTTCCGCCTTTTTGCCATGCTGCTTCACAGCATAGCATATTGGAGTTCTCAGCCTCCAGAAGTGTGAACTAAATAAGCTTTTCTTTATAGATTACCCTGTCTCAGGTACTCAGTTCTAGCAGCACAAAATGAACTAAGAGATCCCATAGCCAATTTACCATGAAATCATGCTGACTCTACCATCATAGTATATCCACCATCCACCTCCATTACTACCACCTGGTCTTAGAAACATCTTTCACCTGAGTTACTGCAGTAGCCTCCTAAAAGATCCCCCTAAATCTACCATGGCTACCACACAGATTATTTTTCACCCAGGAGCCAGAGTGATTCACACAAAACTTAAGTCAGATTTTGTGTCCTATGCTCAAAATCCTGTAGTAATTTTCCATTTCTATAAGAATAAAAACCAAATTTCTTACACTATCACATAAGACTCTACTTGATCTAGCCTCCCTCCTTTATGCTCCAGCCACACTGGCCTCCTTGTTGTTTCTTGAACATTCCAGGCATGCTCCTATCTGAGTGCCTCTGCTTGGCACTTCTCTTCCTGAAATGCTCTTCTCCAAGATTTCTACTTAACTGATTCTCTCAACTTCTTTGACTCTTTGCCAAAATCTCTTTTCAATGAGGTTTCCTGTGACCACCCTACTTCATACTACAATCTGCTCCCACTCCCTACCCCCAGAACTTTCAGTCTGTTTTTTTCACAGTGCTTATAACTTTCTAATGTGAAATACTGTTTTCTTATTATCACTATTATCTTTCTCCACTGCTAAAATGTAAACTCCACAAGGGAAGAGATCTTCCCTGCTATATTCAGAGAAACTTATAAGAGTACCAGGCACACAGTAGGTACCCAATAAATATTTGTTGAATGTTCAATAAACATAAAAAATGGATTACGTGTTCCTTGAAGGATCAGTAGTATTTGTCTCAAAATCATTTGAACTCCATGCTATTTTTGTGGAAAGATTTTTTTAAGCTTGTGATTTCATTTATTTAATGTCTCTAGGTATATTTATATTTTCTATTGCATTTCAGTCCATGTTGATAAGTTTTACATTTCTATGAAGCCATATATTTCATCCAAGTTTGAAAATGTATTGGCATAAAGCTGCCTAACATGCTCTCTTACATTTCTTTAAATCACCACTGTGGTTGTATTTTTCTTTCCAAATGTTTATTTTCTCTCTCATTATCAATCTGGTTGATACTCTGTTGTCTTACATAAATTTCTCCTGTTTATTATTACCTTTTCTCTGTGTTCTTTGGCCTAACTCTATTGGTCTTTTCTATATTACTCAAATTATTTTTCATGACGAGTGATACAGCACTTACTAATATTTCCAGTTTCCTCCTTCTAGGCTCAGGAGAAGATTACACCTCCCTGTCCGAGTAAAGTTAGGTAAGGCCAACTGACTAGCTCTGGCCAATGATATGTCACTTTTGATGGAAACATCTAAAAACTTATGTATGGGGAAAGAGTAGTCTTCTCAATAACAGTGCTGGGTCAATTAGATATTTACATGAAAAAACAAACTGTGACCCCACTCACAAAAATCATTTCCAGATGGATGGCAGACATAAATTTGAACAATCTTGGTGAGATAAGATTTCTCTTTTTTTTTTTCTTCTTTTTAAAAATAGAGATGGGGTCTTGCTGTGTTGCCCAGGCTGGTCCTAGGCTCAAGTGATCCTCCTGCCTCTGCCTCTCAAAGTGCTGGGATTACAGGCGTGAGCTCAGGCTGGGATTACAGGCATGAGCCCAGATAAGATTTCTCAAACAGAGCAGAAAAACACTAAGGTAAAGGGAGGAACGACAAATTGGCACATATTAAGATGAAAACTTTTGTTCTCCAAAAGGTATCATTAAGATGGTGAAAGAGGCCAGGGCGTGGCTCATGCCTGTAATCCCAGCATTTTGGGAGGCTGAGGTGGGTGGATCACGAGGTCAGGAGTTCGAGACCAGCCTAGCCAATATGGTGAAACCCCATTTCTACTAAAAATACAAAAATTAGCCGAGGATGGTGGCATGCACCTGTAATCCCAGCTACTCAGGAGGCGGAGGCTATAGAATCACTTGAACCCCGGAGGTGGAGGTTGCAGTGAGCCAAGATTGTGCCACTGCACTCCAGCCTGGGCAACAGAGTGAGACTCCGTCTCAAAAAAAGGTGAAATAGGCCAGGCGCAGTGGCTCAAGCCTGTAATCTCAGCACTTTGGGAAGCCGAAGTGGGTGATCACCTGAGGCCACAAGTTCAAGACCAGCCTGGCCAACATGGCAAAACCCCCTCTTAACTAAAAATAAAAAATAAAAAAATTAGCCAGGCGTGGTGGTAGGCACCTCTAATCCCAGCTACTCCAGAGGCTGAGGCAGGAGAATTGCTTGAACTCGGGAGGTGGAGGCTTCAGTGAGCCGAGGTTGCGCCACTGCACTCCAGCCTGGGCAACATTAGAGCTAAACACCATCTCCAAAAAAAAAAAAAAAAAAGGTGAGGAGACCTTTTTTACATACATATACCGGAGTATATGCATTACATGTAATAATCTCCTCACCATCTTTTTTTCCTTCCAGTATGTGGATTACAAATTTCTTCTCCCACTGTAAGAAAAACTAGTATTTAGCATGTAAAAAGGCTTCCTACACATCCGTATGAAAAGACATAGAACGCCCGTCCAGTAGAGAAATAGAAGCCTCGGACACTGCACAAGAGAGGATGTCCTAATGGCCAAAAAACACATGAGAAGGTTCTCAGTTCACCAGACTTCGGCCTAATGCAAATTAAAATCACCACGTAATATCCTTACTCACCCAGCACAACGGCTAAAATGGCTAAACAGGACACACCACGGACTCGCGAGAATGAGTGGTGGGTATCGCGAGACTGACGAGTGGGCGGTGCAAATGGTTGAGGCGTCCACTCGCCATTTTGTGTGAGGGACGCTGACACTACGCATTGCTGGCCTGGCCTCGCCTCTACCCACTGCAGCCCTGGCCGCTACCAACATGAGCTTCCTGGAGAGTCCTCGCAGCCCCCGTACTCTCGACCGTGTCGCGGAAGACCCGCACCAGGGCCAGCGGTCCGGAGACGAGAGTGAGGCGAAGCAGCTAATGGCGGAGACACTGGAGAGCCGCTTGGAGCCAATTTTGCTCCCACCGCCATGGCTTCCAGAGGAGGGGGTCGTGCCCCAGGATCCCACAGATTGTGGCGATACTCTCCACGTGTTAGTCGATGGGGGTCGGGGTCATGGAGCCATCAACGCGGGGCAGGAAGTGACTCCACTGCCCGCGGAGGACCGGGAAACAGCCTCTGCCTCCGCGGCAACCAACGGCAGCCTCAGAAATGGCTTTCCGGGTGAAGAGAGGCGCCGCCCAGGCGGGGAGAAGCCTCCAGAAACCTGTGGCACAGGGAGGTCGGAGTCTGAAGTGATTGCAGTGGGGAGGCCCGAGGACCTGAAGCCTGAAGAGTGTGCCATGCTCTCAGCCCCAGTGGATGAGAAGCCCGGAGGCACAGAAACGGACATGGCGGAAGGAAACAGCGCGACAGATGAGGTAAACATGGAGGCAGGGCCTGGGCCCCTCAACATGGATCTCCACCTGAACCCCCTGGAGGCCATCCACCTGGAACTGGACTCCGTGAATGCCGAGGCTGACAGGGCCCTCCTGCAGGTGGAGCGCAGGTTTGGGCCGATACACGAATACTACCTGGAGCGGAGGAATGACATGATTCGCAATATCCCGGGCTTCTGGGTCACTGCCTTCCGCAACCACCCACAGCTGTCTGCCATGATTAGAGGCCAAGATGCAGAGATGTTAAGCTACTTAACCGACCTGGAAGTGAAGGAGCTCAGACACCCTAGGACAGGGTGCAAGTTTAAGTTCCTCTTTCGAAGAAACCCTTACTTCAGAAACAAGCTGATTGTCAAGGCGTATGAGGTCATATCCTACGGCCAAGTGGTGTCTTTTTCCACTCTAGTTATGTGGCGCCGGGGCCATGGACCCCAGTCCTTCATTCATAGGAACCGACATGTCATCTGCACCTTCTTCACTTGGTTTTCAGACCACTGCCTTCCAGAGTCTGACAGGATTGCTCACATTATTAAAGAGGACATCTGGCCGAATCCACTGCAGTACTACCTGTTGCGTGAAGGCGCCCATAGAGCTAGACGTCGCCTGGTAAGGGAGCCAGTGGAGATCCCGAGGCCCTTTGGGTTCCAGTCTGGTTAACCTTGGCCTTTGGAACTGCTCCCGCAGAAGGTCTCCTGCCACCACCTGCTGGACCTGTGCTTGGGCAACAGTATTAGGTATGTCCTTTCCTCTTTTTGTTCTGACTTTTCTGTATTCTCTGTTTAAACTTTCCGTTCTCTCACGCTCAAGATTGAGACCTTGGTGGCTATGCTGCTCCCCTTTCACCTGGTCTAGCTGTTCTGCATTAACATCACAGGCTCCCAGCCGATAAGTCACATCCTTCTAAGTGAATGATGCTGTAGACTGCACTGTCTTTACCTTTGTTTGGACTCTGTTTGTTCCCGGGACATCTGGTCTGGCTCCTCCTACCTGGATTTCTAGCTGTGTCTAAGAACCTATTCTGCTCACCCTGTTCTGCATCTGACAGTACAGGCGGCCTGTGGACAGCTGCTAGGCATTGATGAAGTCAAGGAACAGCAGGGGACAGCTTGGTATGCGTGAATTATGGGACTCTCCATTAATTTTCCTGAGACTCTGGTCACTGATTGCTGCCTGCTACTGGCTATGCCCACCACCTTGGGCAGCTCCCTGCTGAGTGAACATATTCCAGACCATTGCCAACTCCACTCTCTGGTTTCTAATAAACAGGGATCTCCAGAACACTGGTGGTAGATACAGGTTTCCTGTCAACACACAGAAGACCAGTTCCTCTACCAAAAGATCTCTGAATTCTTCACCACCATCACTCTCGTCACCCAGAAATCCTGTCAAACAAGTGGTTGAGGGGACATGATAGACCCTATCCTCATGGCAAGGGTAATATCTTGAGAAGTACCAAGCTTTCTCAGCCACCCATCAGTGGCTTCATTAAAATCTAGGTACCTTTATTTGCCTCCCTTCCTGTACCTAATGAAGTGCCAGAGTGGGTGTACACTTTCTTTTCTCTCATCTATCTCTTCTGTCTTCCTTTTTTTTTTTTTAAGTGGTAATTATGAAATATCCGCAGAAGCAGGCCTTTTAGTTTCTTGGCTCTTCTTGTCATATCCAGGGGCAGGCTCTTCTGTAAAATACACTGCCAGAACTCTTATTGCCCACTCTTTTCAGCCCCTCACCCCTCTTTAGCAATTCCTAGAGGGTTTAAAGGAATACAGAGCTGGATGGAATGAAAGGTGATTTCTAGTTGAGAGTGGGTGGAAGAACTAAAGAGATTGTGATGGGTGCTTTAAGCATGGAAAACTGAACAAAAAGGCAGAGGTGAGGCAGAAATGATTCAGGGGAAAATTGGGCCTAGAATGAACACTGGGTTGACTTGAGATCCTGTGAGGAAAGGGAACTAACTTACTGTTAGTTATGATGGGAAGAGAAGTACTTTTTTTTTTTTAGTATTGGGATAGAAGAATAGAAGATGGAGTGTTAATTTATGTTGCCTAGAGAAGGGTTCTTTGAATAAACACTGCAATTTTGGGTATTTTCTTTCTTGTTTGCATGTGGCCTTATTTATGTAGAAGATTAATACTGTGTTGTAACACTTTCTCTGTTTCTGTTTACTGGGAAGATTCAGCTGTACAGAGTTACTTTCAATTTGGAACATTTGGAATAATATCGGTCTTTCTTTTTTGTACATTATAGAGACTTAATGTGGATATTCATGACCGTTTTCAGCCTGGTCTTGTTTCTGTTAAAACCATATCTTTAACATTTTAATTTGAATAACCTGGTCTTATCTGATGCAGAAGACTGGAAACTGTTGTGTTCATAGTTAAATAAATTACAAAAAATTTATGGTTCTTATTGTCTTTCTTGATAATTTATTCTGGTAACAACTTAGTAATTAATATGCCTGTTTTGTTTTGTTTTTGGAGACGGAGTGTTGCTCTGAACCCAGGCTGAAGTGCAGTGGCGTGATCTCGGCACACGGCAACCTTCACCTTTTGGGTTAAGCAATTCTCCTGCCTCAGCCTACCAAGCAGCTGGGATTACAGGCGATCACCAGCACGCTGGGCTAATTTTTGTATTTTTAGTAGAGACAGGGTTTCACCACGTTGGCCAGGCTGGTCTTGAACTCCTGACCTTGTGATCCACCTGCCTTGGCCCAAAGAATGGAAGTGCTTGTGAGACTGCTTTGTGAAACTAGAATGATACCATTGGCATATTTGTCTGATTCCATTAAGTCAATGGCATCTTTCCTTATGAATGGATGATGGTAAAATTAAAGCTTGGAAAATAATGAAGGTTGAAAGAGTACATGCTATATAATTCTTTTATGTATGAAGTATAACAGCAGGTAAAACTAATCTATGGTGGTAGAAGTCAGGATAGTGGTTACTGCCAAGGACAGTGACGGTTCTGAGATTTACCCTCCTTGCAAGCTTCACAAGTTAGCCTTACATGCTAGGTCAGAGACAAAGGACCTTATAACTCAATAATCAGAGTCGCAGTATTTGCACTGGTTCCCTGAGCTCTAATTCCCACAAGCCAACATAAAGAAAGCCAAGTGACACCTGCACACAGTGCATTGTTACAGGAGAGGATCTCTATAGGAGCATAAGGAATCTGAATCTTATTTAAAATGGGCAGTAAGCATGCCTGTCCTTTTTGCTTTGAAGGGAGACACCTCTATTAACACTGAATAGTAAGTAAACCTATTCTTTGCTCTCTAAGGGACATAATCTAAATTTTTCAAGGCTATAAGCAAATCAGCCCTTTGCTCTGGAGACACTCTGTCTTCCAAGGCTGTTGAGTATACATCCTTGGAAAAATATTCTGAACACACGGAGTCAGTGCCTTTGCTCACAAGATATGCAGAAACGTGAGACACATGGAGAATTGTCTCTCAATAAACTTTGGGGTGGTAAGTACCTATTGACTGGAAGGAAGTATGAGATGGTAGATTTTGAAGGGCTGGTGATGTTTTGGGCCTTGATCTGGGTGCTGGATAATTAAGTATATTCAATTTGTGAAACTTCACTGAGTTGTACGTTTAGAAAACATACTTCTCTCTATATATTGTACTTTAATAACATATTCTTGCTTAAGAAAAAACCAAAGCAAGCAAAGAAATTCAAAACAGAAAAACCTGAAAATTCCATATTATTTTCCTGGAACCTCTATGCCAGAAAAAGACCAATTTAAAAGTCTGCTGCAGATCTTTTTGGGTAGACCATGAATTGATATATAAGAATTATAATAGGATTATTTACTAGCCACATTCAAATGGCTAAAATACATTTTCTAGGAATAGAAACACTGAATTATCTAGGCATGGGCCATCAACTCTTAGTATTTACAGTGCTCCACTCATTTTGTCAACTGACCTTTTTATCATAGTTTTCTAGTTGTAAACAGTTAATAATAGCTCATGATGGTTCATTTTTATAGCTTTGTTCTTCCAGCCAAATATATAATAAAATCCATATATTATTTTTTTCTGTACAATAGGGATGATGCTATTCTGAAGACAAGACTGGCCCCACCATATACTTGCTTTTTAAGATGGTCTATATTTCAAAGTTTTATTTCTTTTCAGGCCTTCCTCTTTGAGGTATAAAGACTTCATTTGATAAATTGAGATTAAAAATATCAAACCATACCTTTGGCACATGCTATAGACAATGAGAGTGTAAGTACCAACAAAAACTTTTATAGAACTATAATGAAATTGTTTGCTTTGGCTTATTTGAGCAAAATCTTTCCACTTCTGTATACAGCAAGGTTTTTGGGGATAATATACCATTCAAAATGAGGTATTTTTCTTTTACATAAAGAGTATGAAGACAATAATGTATAATATTAACTTACTGCTTTTGAAACATAAGGTATATTTAATTATCTAGGCTTTTTATATCAATTCATAGCACATATAATTTTAAGTGCCATCCATATAGATGACTTGCCCTGTTTTCCAGTGGCACAGTTTTCTCTTTGCTATTGGTAGCTATAAGCATGAGATAGAATATTCTTTAAGGGGTCTAGAATTACTGAGATAGATGAGGAAGGAAAAGATAGGTGATATTTTCACATTTGGCATTAAACTAAAATCTAGAGCATAAAATAGCGCATTGAGCTACAAGTCAGGGGTTGAGGGTTCTGCCATAAACCAGACGTTAACTACGTAGTTTTCCTTTTTTTTTTTTTTTTTTTTTTTAATCTCGGCTCACTGCAACCTCCGCCTCCTGGGTTCAAGTGATTTTCCTGCCTCAGTCTCCCGAGAAGTTGGGACTACAGGCGCACGTCACCATGCCCAGCTAATTTTTGTATTTTTAGTAGAGATAGGGTTTCACCATGTTGGTCAGGTTGGTCTTGATCTCTTGCCATACTGATCTGCCCGCCTCGGTCTCCCAAAGTGCTAGGATTACAGGTGTGAGCTACTGCTCCTGGCTTTTTTTTTTTTTTTTTAAAAGAAAAGGTCTTTTTTTGTTGCCCAGGCTGGAGTGCAGTGGTACAATCATGGCTCACTGCAGCTCATTTTTCTGGGGCTCAAGTGATCTGTCTCAGTCAGCCTAGTAGCTGGGACTACAGGCACATGCCACCATGCCTGGCTAATTGATTTTTTTTTTTCCTGGTAGTGATGAGGTTTCACTGTGTTGGGCATGCTGGTCTTGCACTTCTGGGCTCTGGCAATCCTCCTGCCTTGGCCTCGGAGTGCTAGGATTATAGGTATAAGCCACTGTGCCTGGACCATTTTTGTATTTTTAATAACAGTTTTGAAACAGAATTTCTCCTAAATCTGAAGATTTACCTACCCCTTAAATGTAAGTTTTCCACAAAGTTCTGTGACCTCCCTGTGGCTTTTCTTCTCTATACTCTTTGAGTGACTACCAGTGCCACAGCCAGAGCTTCTGTCATCACCTTTGAAATAAGGACTCTTAAATTGGAATCTCCCTTATTCCAGATTAGGGTTTGACGTATCCATTTGCACAGTGTTTCCAGAATTGTTCCCTTTCTATATCTATTTTCACCTTAATATCTCGTCTACATTATCGGAAGTCTGAGGAGTCACCTTCCTGAATCTTATCTTTCTTTTCCATCATTTCATTATTGACAAATCATGTGCCTTTTCCTCCACTATCCTTGTCAATGCACCACTGTCTGCAGAAGAAAATCCAAACACCCTACTACAGTATTGCATTCAGGATCAGCTACAACCAAGCCCCTACTTAACATTCTTACCAGAGTCCACTCACATGGAACTCCTTACTGTTAAAAGTAGCTCATGTACTATCCCAATTCTGTGCCTTTGCTCATGATGTTCCATAACCTTGGATTCTCTTGCCCACCTCAACTATGGAAATCATACCATTCCTTCTAAACTCAAATGACATATCCTCTAAATCACCTTTCCAAACCCTCCTACCTCTTGTAGCATATACTGTGTAGTATTTATAATTCATACAAATGTATATTGAACTTATTTACATATGTTAGTAGTTTATATTTGTCACTCAATTTTAAGTTCTTCATGGGCCAAAATTGTGTTTCAGTTATCTTCCTTTCTGTGATGAGTAAGACATAGTCCCTGTTCTCAAGCAACCTACAGTCTCGCATAGGAGACAACGTACAGTGTGACAAATACCAAACAAGTGTACGCATGGGAGCTATGAGACCACATAAGAGGGACATTTTCCCTACCTAAAGGTTAGGGAAGGATTCTTATAAGTGGCTTCTAAGTTCCATTCTAGACACCATACTAGACTGTAAGTCTCTTCAGAGTAGGGGGCTATTTTTTCATCTATGATGTATCCCTAGGGCACCGTATTATATTTAGCACAAAATGGATTCTTGAAAATTACTTGATGAGCATGTAAATAAAAGATGCCGATCTGTTTTTAGTTCTAAATGTGTAGATTTGGAATCATACTAGTCTTTTGTGATACTTTTCTATTCCACCTATCATATGGTCAATAAATAATTGGCTAATGAAAACCTAATCAAATAATAACATACTTTTAGCCTTGAGGTTCTAGATAAGTGTTAATTGACATGGTTGCCCAAATAATTTCTAGGAAAAGCCAGAGTAGAACTTCAGTCAAATCCTTTTCAGTATATTAGTTCTAAATCTAAGAAAGAAGGCTGTGTGGATAGATGAGTTGGTTTGCAATTATAGACCCACATTGAATCAAACTGCAACATTTATTCTTTAACATCTAAGTTCATATAAGTTAAAGAAAAACTACAGGCTGTATTATAGCCATTAATGATAGGCTATAATAATAGCTATCATTTATTACAGTCTTAGGGCATGGTAGCCACTGGCTAAGCACTTTGTATGCATTCTTAATTCTCAAGTACAAAGTACTTCCATCTCCATTCTTCAGATGAGGAATGTGAGACTCAGTTGAGAATATGTTACTTGTGTCCAGTCACCCAGCCAGGTGGTGGTAAATCCAGAATTCTAACCCAAGTCTATCTGACTCCAGAGTCTGATAAGTACATATGGACAGAGATACTATCTTTTGCTTCACAGTATAACATTATGAAAATAATAATTGGCTTAGATTTGTTCCATTTGCATTCAGTTTTTCTTAGCATATGAAACATTTACTAATTTTGATGTTAATTAATGAAAGTTATGACACAGGTGAATCTAAAATCAGAAGTAGAGTACTAATATGTAATTGTTTTTCATTTAAATTTTGTAAATATTATGGCAATTTCTTTTGAAATCTGAATACCACCTATAAATGAATATAAGATACAATAGTGCCTATGATACATTCACTGTTGGCTAAAATCACCTTGCTAAAGGCACTGTCAAAACTGAAGTATATTTTGAGGTGTTCAGTGGCTCCAATAAGCTTTCTGCCTTAATTCCAGATGTAACCAGCAGCATTTGGTAGACAATGTACTTTGTCCAGAAAGAGCTAATAGCAAAGAGTCTTTTTGGGTGGGGAATGGATTATGTCACTGTCTAGAAATCTCGTACGATACACTTGGCTCGTCAGCAATGGCAGGCTGAAGGAAGAATGCACAGCCAAGCAACACATGTGAAGTCCAAGAAATGGGATGGAAAGAGAAGGATAAAATGGGAAAATCTCAAGGAGAGAGCACAATGGAAGAGAAATACAGAGAAATAGTGTTATTTCATACCCCAGTAAACACTGGTATAAGACCGAAGAGACAGTGTTCCAGCTTGTCTTCTAATTTTAGGGCATTGGGGCAGGGAGTAGTTACAGCCTTCGTGTGCTTGGAATTTATTACTCTTGATGGAAGGAACATGAACTAGAGGGTCCTAAGTTTCTTTCCTTTTAGAGTTTTTATCCTATCATGGTGCAGGTACATAGCCCTCGGGCTTTATGATATAAGAAATATGTTGAAGTCAATAAGGTAGAAATAAATGGATACCTTCTTAACTTGATAAAATATACCTTGATCCCAAACTAACCATTAGGTTTACTGGGACAACATGGGAGGTATTCCCACTCAAGTCAGGAACAAAGAAGGATGCTCATTTGTCACTATCGTTACTTAACATCGTAGACATTAGATATTGGACAACATAATTATTAAGAGAAAGAAACTAGAGGTATAAAAATTTAGAGAACAGAAAACTACAGTTTGTGATGAATATAGAAAACTTATGACATTCAAGTGAAAAAGTAAACAATTAGAAAACTTAGTAAGGCAGCAGGATACAGAATTACTATATATATCAACAGATTTTAGATATACAAACACAAAGTTGGAAGATGAAATGGGGAAGACTATTTATAATAGCAACAGCAAAAGATGAAATATTTAAGAAAAAGCCTTAGAAATGTGCCAGATTTATTAATACAATTTTAAAGCATTCCTGAAGACACAAAGACTTGTACAAAGGGAAAGACATACCAAGTTAGATAGGAAGACTCAACCTTATAAAGTTGTTCTCCAGAGCTAATTTAGTGATTAAGTATATTTACAGTAACAAGTCCAAAAATTGAAGAAAGGTAGGGATGGGGGGAGAATGAGACAAATTCTAAAGTATATATTAAAAAATAACAGATCAGTGGAACAGAATAGAAAAGCCAGAAATTCATTTATCTGCAGACAACCCATTTTTGACATTTTTGACAAGAGCATTAGTTGGGGAAAAGAATCTTTTCAATAAATGGTGCTGGGAAAACTAGCCATATGCAGAAGAATGAAACTAGACCCCCACCTCTCATTCTACATAAAAATCAATCCCAAGTGGATTAAAGGCCTAAATGTAGTACCTAAAACTATGAAACTCTAAGACAAAAACAGAGAAAATGCTCCAGGACATTAGTCTGGGGGAAGATTTTATGAATAAGACCTCAAAAGCAGAGGCAACAAAAGCAAAAACAAATGAGATTGTATCAAACTGAAAAGCTTCTGCACAGCAAAAGAAACAATCAACAGAGTGAAAAGGCAACCTATAGAATGGGAGCAAATATTTGCAAACTATTCATCTAACAGGGGATTAATATCCAGAATATACAAAGAAATCAAACATCAGAACAGTAAAACAACAAGATGATTAAAAAAATGGGCAAATGATCTGAATAGACATTTCTCAAAAGAGACATACATTTGGCCAACAAATATATGGAAAAAAATGCTCAACATCACTAATCATGAAAGAAATGCAAATCAAAATCACAATGAGATATCATCTTACCCCAGTTAGGATAGCTATTATCAAAATGACATACAACAAGGATGCAGAGGAAAGGAAACACTTATACACTGTTTGTGGGAATGTAAACTAACAAAACCACTATGGAGAACAATATAGAGATCCCTCAAAAAACTACAAATAGAACTGCCATACGTTCCAACAATCCCGCTACTCAGCATTAATCCAAAGGAAAGGAAGTCAGTATGTTGAAGAGATACCTGCACCCCCATGTTTACTGCAGCACTATTCACAATAGCTCAAATGTGGAATCAACCTAAGTGTCCAACAATAGATAAATGAATTTTTAAAATGTGGTATATATACACAGTGGGATATAATTCAGCCATAAAAAAGAATGAAATCCTGTGATTCCCTGATGGACGGGACTAAAGAACATTGTGTCAGGTGAAATGAGCCAGGAACAGAAACTTAAAACACCTCATATTCTCATTCATATGCATAAGCTAAAAAAAAAAAAAAGGTCAATCTCATAGAAGTAAAAGTAGAAGAGACATTACTAGAGGACAGGGAGATAAAAGGAAGGGGAAGATGGTGAGATATGTTAAAGGACACAAAGTTATAGCTGTACAGGAAGAATAACTTCTAGTGTTTTATAGCACTACAGGGCGACTATAGTTTATATACTTTCAAATAGCTAGAAGGGAGGGCATTGAACTTTTCTAATACAAAGAAATTATAAATGTTTGAGATGATGGATATGCTAATTATCCTGATCTGATCATTATACATTGTATATATTGAAACATCACTATGTACTCCATTAATATGTACAATTATGTGTCAATTCAAAAATTAAAAAATACAGAAAAAAATAAGGATTTCAAGGGAATCTCCAAAAGAGAATAAAATGAGGGGGGCAATTCCTAGCATTTATTACAAAATATTATAAAGCTAAAACAATTAAATGTGTATTCCTGACACAGGAATAGACAAACAAGAAAACAGAATAGGAAATTTACAAATAGATCCCAATGCATACAGAATTTGGTGTATGATAAATAGGGTATCTCAGCCAGGCACAGTGTCTCATGCCTGTAATCCCAGCACTTTGGGAGTCCAAGATGGGCAGATAGTCCTTGAGGTGAGGAGTTGAGAAACAGCCTGGCCAGCATGGTAAAACCCTGTTCTCTACTGAAAATACAAAAATCAGCTGGGCATGGTGGTGCACACCTGTAGGGCCAGCTACTCAGGAGGCTGAGGCACCAGAACTGCTTGAACCCAGGAGATGAAGGTTGTAGTAACCAAGGTTGCACCACTGCACCCCAGCCTGGGTGACAGAGCGAGGCCCCATCTCTAAGTAAATAAATACATAAGTTATCTCAAATTAGTGAGGAAAAGATGAGCAACTCAGATTGTCTTGAGAAAACTGGTGAGGTGTTTGCAACAAAATTAGGTAGAATTCATGCCTCATACTATATACCAGGTAAATTCTAAAGGAGAGTAAATATTTAAATTTTAAAAATGAAATAATTAAAATACTAGAAGAAAACAAAGGAAACTGTATTAGCTCAGAGTGGTGAAGGCTTTCTGTCACTTAAAATCTGGAGACATCCAGGAAAAGACTTTCAGGTCAGCTGTGGATTTAAAAGCAACAACAGCACCAACAACTATGGTCACACACACACCATAACAATGGTTCCATCAATGATTGACTATAGGCCTGCCAGTAATTCCAGCATTTTGGAAGGCTGAGGCAGGTGGATCACTTGAGGCTAGGAGTTCAAGACAAGCCTGGCCAACATGGTAAACCCCATCTTTACTAAAAAAAAAAAAAAAAAAAAAAAAAAATTAGCCAGACACACGCCTATAATCCCTGCTACTTGGGAGGCCAACACACAAGAATCACTTGAACCTGGGAGGCAGAAGTTGCAGTGAACTGAGATTGTGCCACTACACCACAGTCTGGGCAACACAGCAAGACTCCATCTCAAAAAAAAAAAGATGGACTATGTATATGACAATGGTCCCATAGGATTATAATATATTTTCACTGTGCCTTTCTGTCTTTAGGTACACAATACTTGCCATTGTGTTGCCACTGCTTACAGTATTAAGTACAATAACATGCCATATACGTCTGTAAAATAGGAGCAGTAGACTCCACCACACATCCTAGGTGTGTAATAGGCTTTACCATTTAGATTTGTGTAAATCTACCCTATGATATTTGCACAACAAAGAAACTGCCTAATGACGCATTTCTCAGAATGTATCCCCATCATTAAACGCATGACTGTACTGGAAAAAAAGTTTAAATCTCCATGACAAAAAGAATTTTCAAAAGAAAAATGCCAAACTGGGGAAAAAATATTGTCACCTCATATCACAGACAAAGCCTAATCTCCCTAATATGGAGAGTACTTTAAATCCCTTTAATCCATAAATTCATACTAAGCAAATTCTTATAATGGTAAGAAAAGATGTATACCAAGGGGCTGCAAATTAATGATTCAGGAGTTTGCTAATCTGAAGTGCTGACTTCAGATTATACATATAGTCATGTATCATTTAATGACAGGGATGCATTCTGAGAAATGTATTGTTAGGTGATTACATCGTTGTGTGAGCATCATAGGGTGTACTTACACAAATCTAGATGGTATAGCTCCCTACCCACCGAGGATATGTGCTATAGCCTATTTGCTCCTAGGCTACAAACCTAGGAGTATAGTGTGGCATGTTACTGAATAATGTAGGCAGCTGTAACACAATGGCATTTGTGTATCTAAACATAGAAAAGGTACAGTAAAAATATTAATGTTAATCTTATGGGACCACTGTTATATATGCAGTTTATTGTTGATCAAAATGTTGAATTATGTGGCATATGACTATATATTTTACCTAAAACATCAAGTCATTACATGGAATATGACTGTATATATTTTACCTAAAACATCAAGTATACATTCATTCTGCTAAATTTAATCCAGTTTTCCATCTTAATGGAGGACACCAATAACCACAATGACAAGGAAAAATGGGCAAGATAAGCCTTCAGTTGATGTCACAGGACATCGGTGATGAGCAAAGTCATCTCAGGATTACTCAGTTCTCGAAGGATATTCTATCTACCAAGACTGGTTGTTTGACGTTGTACAGATGACAAAACTGCAATTGCTGCAGACTGTAGTCACTGTGCTGG